GTCCCTGTTTTCTTATTGAGCGTGTAGCTTTTACGTACTCTGTATTTTTGAGTGTGTATGCAAAGTTGTTGTTATAATTGAGAATTCTCCCTGTTTTTCATTGCCATGGCAGCTTGTGAATTGTGAAATCATTTTGTGAATTCTCCCTGTTTATCAACAGAATTCTCCCCATTTTTTTTGCTTTATTTGATGTTGAATATTAATGGAGCTTTCCTGATTTCTTGTTGTTGAATGTGCTAAAGAGCTTGGTTGTACAAGGTTGGCAATGGTGGTGGGATGATAAGAGATTACCCTTTCCATTTTAAGCCCCAAAATACTGCAGCAAAAGAAATGCTGCCAGAAAACTCTAAATTGTTTATGTACAAATGAACAAGAAAGAAAAAAGTAGTTATACTTCACATTCAGTCCTCTGTAATCTCCTTTTTTATGTGGGGGTTCTCGAGGAAGTATAAATATGTTCTTTCTTCCCGAGCAAGCATGTAATGTTTTCAAGAGAAACGGCACCATGTGCATGCATGTATTCTATTTTGCTGATAATTAATTATATTTGTTCATGCCCTTAATTGTAATTTTATAATTTCAGCTACTTCGAACAGTTAGTTTTGCCAAACATGACTATTTAAAACAGCCAGCTTTTATGAAACAGCTACGGTCTTTTCCGTCTGCAAGCTTTTCAGCTCAAAAAAGCTAACAGTTACTAAAAAGTCTAAAAAAGATCTTTTCAGCTTCTCGGGCCAAACATAGCCTAAGTCGTTAATGTAACAAAGCTAAATTGTTAAGAAAGTCACAAAATAAAAGATCGAAGTATTAAAGTAGTCCCTGTGTAACCCATGAAAAAACGTTTACCACATAAAGATTATTGGGTTATGACTTTGGACTTACTGTGTAACTATCTTCCTCCAATATCAAGTGTTCCGTACTTGATTTATTACTTAAATCCAGTGATTCTACGTAATAAGCTAGAGTAGATCTTGTTGGACGCACAAAAAGTATATTTTAGTACGCTCCCTTGTGTAAAGAGACAATTATAAACAACTACGAACAATTATCGACTTCTACCTTTAGATGAGTTGCATGTTTGCAAAGCAACAAGCCAACTGCCAACAAGAGAATGTGAACAAAAAACGTACAAATAAATTTTTTAATCTGTCAATTAGTGTTCTATCAAATACTACCTTCTTAACACTAATTTTGGGACAATTCGGTTTACGATACTTGACCAACAATAAAGCAAACAGATCTCTGTATGCACTCATTATTTTTAGCAAACAAATTACATATTCAAAAACTACATTAAAAGGTTTACAAAGTCACAAAAACCAGAATCAAATTTGATAAAAATTTGATATACTATCGTATAAAGTAAGAGATTAAGAGTGATTTGTATTGACCAAATGAATAGTGTCTGGAACAATTTTAGCGGGATGAGAGAGCACTAGTTACTTGGTATCTCTTTAGCTTGAGCGTAGTATATAGGGTCAAATTTAACTTCAAATATATATGAAATCAACTAAGAACAGGCCTAATGTCCTCTTGGGAGTTACTTCGTAACTTTTTAACTATCTCCGAAAATATAATACTCCCTCAGTCCCAAATTGTAAGATACATTTACTATTCACTTGGTCAACATAAATCACTCATAAACTTTTATTTTATATATCAAAAGTTTATGAAGCTTGAATTATTTTTTGCAGGTTTTGTAGCGGATTTAATGTAGTTTTTGAATATGTAAATTTTATTTTCTAGAACTAATTTGGGTGTTGACAGGGATCAATTTGCTTTATCGTCAGTCAAACATCGTAAACCGAAATGTATCTTACAAATTGGGACGGAGAGAGTAATAATTAATTAAAAATTGTGTTACCGTAATACCCCTATGGGGTTGGATACATTAAATGATTATATTAATAAATTTGCCTAAGCTCGCTCTTAAATTTCCTTATGGACACGTAGACCTGGCTCGGCAACTTCTTCTGGTCATTAAAAAAAGTTTGTATGGTTTCATGTATATCGATTAATACATGTACTGATTGTTGCCCACCAAGGAATAACGCACATGGAGTTACGTATCACAAATTTCGAAACTCGGTAGAATAAAAGGAGGCCGTTTCACAACACTGATTTTTGGCTTATCAGTCAATTTTTTCATCAAACACGTAACTTTTGGATTCGCGCGCTGAATTGTGTAATGAGCAGAAAAAGTAAGGTTAGAGTTACTTTCTTAGCTGTATTGGCTGAAGTTACTGTAGATGACCATTTTAGCTATTTTACCTATGATTTTTTCTTTATTTTATTAATACAATATATTTTTAAAATAATTTTTTCTTAAATCAGCAAAATCAGCCAATGCAGCCAGAACTTTATAAATTTCAGCAGAATCAGCCAAAACAGCCGATTTTCGTGCAACCAAACGGGCTCTACATGTACAATTAAAGAGGTTAGAATAATCTACAAAAAATTAGATTTGAAATTTGATGCCACATTATTTTTCTGAATAGTCTCACTTTCTCAATCATAATCACAAAAAAGATTATCCACCTCATGAAATTGATCTCCAAAATGTTGTTACCCATAAAAAATGAGTATATAATATACACATGTATGTTTCCCAACCGGCCCGGGAACTGACCCGGCCTGGGTGACCGGTACCGGGCTTAGGCCCAACCCGATGACTATTCCGGGGGCGGGTCCGGGACTCGAAAATGGGGCCGGCTCGGTTAGGGCTTTTCATTTTTTATTTTTTTGGGTTCGGGCTAGGTTTAGGTGGGCTGGTTGTTTTCGAGGGATTTGGGGGATGAGGGTGGAATAAATAATAAAGTCCAAAAAAAACAATATACTGAACTGGCCCGGCCCGGAACCGGTAGACTACCGGGCCAGTCCCGGGCCTTACCCAAAAAAAACCAAACCCGGCCGAGCCCAGGCCCGAACCGGAACCGGACTGGGCATTTTAGAAAACATCAATGGTAAAATTAAAAAAAAAAAATCCAAACAAGCCCAGTTACATTGGCGTCCCGGCTAACAGGGAGTCCAGGGAAGGGTTCCAAAAAATCAGTATCAATATAGATATTGAGAATTGAAGTATCAATATCCACCTAAAAATGAGTTGCGCAAATATCAATGAATTCCAGGAACACTTTAATTACTGATCTAATTTGTGCAATGGTCCCCGGGTAGACGAGTTGAAAACGCGTTCCATTCAAAATAGTCAATGGTCTGAAATAAATATGATGAGACTTCAAAGGTTGATTAAGGTGCTGTTCTGTTCGTCTTATTCTTATTACTTATTACTTATTCTTATTTTATTCAGATCAGATCAGATCAGATCAGAAAAATTCAGATCAGATCAGATCAGATCAGAAAAATTCAGATCAGATCAGATCAGATCAGAAAGATTCAGATCAGATCAGATCAGATCAGAAAGATTCAGATCAGATCAGAAAGATTCAGATCAGATCAGATCAGATCAGAAACATTCAGATCAGATCAGAAACATTCAGATCAGATCAGATCAGAAAAGTTCAAACATGATTTATCACTTTTATTATTATATTAATTATTATTGTTAATATTGTTATTACTATTATGATTATTATTATTATATAATTATTATTAATAATATTAATAATAATTTGATAAAAAAATAAGATATTAATAATAGTCATAATATTTTAATATAATAATAGTAAAATAAATGCAATTATTAAGAAGACTATTATTATTATTATTACAATATAATAATAATATGATTAATATTATTATAATATTATATTATAATTATATGTAATTATAATTATAATTACAATTAAAATTCTTATAATTATAAGTATAATCAATTGTAATTATTATAATTATATCTGTAATTAATTATAATTATAATTGTAATTAGTTATAATTATAATAATTATAATTACAATTACAATCATAATTATAATTATGATTACAATTATAATTATAATATAATATTATAATAATATAATACTAATTATAATAATAATAATCATATTATTATTATATTATTGTAATAATAATATTAATATAATAATATCGTTATAATAATATTAATTGCATTTATATTACTATTATTATATTATAATATTATAATTAATGTTAATATAATTATAATTATTATTAATTATAATTATAATAATTATAATTATACTTATTATTATATTATAATTATATTTTATGATTATAATAATTATTTTTATTATAATTATTAATATTATTATTATTATTACTATTGTAATTATTTTACGGAGTAATTATAATAATATTGATAACTATAGTTACAATTATAGAGATAAATATTGTAACTATAATTACAATTATAATTATATAAGTAATTATAATTAAAAATATAATTACAATTATAATTATATATATATATATTTATAATTAGTGTAATAGGTATAAATTTTTTCATTTTAAATTTAATTTTAATTATTATTATTATTATTATAGTTACGATTATGATTATAATTTTATTTAAATTATATTTGTAATTGCAATTATAATAATTATAATTATAATTATAATTATAATTATAATTATAATTATAATTATAATTATAATTATAATTATAATTATAATTATTATAATTATAATTATATAATTATAATTATAATTATAATTATAATAGAAATATTCAAATCAGATCAGATCAGAAAGATTCAGATCAGATCAGAAGGATTCAGATCAGATCAGAAACATTCAGATCAGACCAGACCAGATCAGAAACATTCAGATCAGATCAGAAAGATTCAGATCAGATCAGATCAGATCAGAAAGATTCAGATCAGATCAGATCAGATCAGAAAGATTCAGATCAGATCAGATCAGATCAGAAAAATTCAGATCAGATCAGATCAGAACTTAAAAAATTCAGATCAGAAACATTCAGATCAGGCGAAGAGAACAGCTTCTAAAATACCCACGACTTAGTTAGAGATGAACTCATGAACATAGTGACTAATATAAACATACGAAATCAATCATGTGGGCTAAAGATATTTTTTTATTGGACAATAATTTGCTAAACTGGTCTGATTGACTCTGATCTATTGAAGTCGGGTCCGACATAAACTCGTCAAGAAGATGTATTTTATAGATTGTCGGAGTTTAGCTTAATATGATCTGGGACTGAAATTAGTCCAATTATAAACATCCAAAATCCCATCTAGAGTTACTGGATTTCTGTACCTACATAAATTGAAGAGCACATGCTCAACAGACAACAAAGGACATTCGATTACAAATTTACAAGCATTGTCCCACAACTGAGTTTCACTGACCCACTTAACACATTAACAGTATGCTTCGCAAGGGCTTTTCAAATGTTCTGACTCAATCTGCAATAAGCAGTGTTTGGCAAAATCATTCAGCCAATAGTATCAGCTATTCATGAACAACTATCTTTTGTTTAGGACTATGACTACTAGCTTAGGGACGATATAGTGGCCTTTTAAAAATTTTGACTTCTTATCTCCATAATACAAAGGTTCTCAGAAACTGGAACTACCCATTGTTTTCTAATATAAACCACTTTTTGCATGCTTAAAAGCCATAAGCCATAGAAGCATAGATGGATCCACTATTTCAAGTCAAGGGGGGGGGGGGGGCGTAGTGTAGGGGGGCAAAAAAAAAATGCTAGTGTAGCGGGGAGAATTTTTTTCGCTAATGTGGCGGGGCAAATTTTTTCGCTAGTATAGCGAGACGAATTTTTTTCACTATTGTACGGCTCCGCGGCTAATTTTTATACAAAAAATAGAAAAGTATATATAACATTTTGTTGAATTATTTGAATGTAAAATATTTAAAAGGTAATTTAACATCAATCGATGCCTTTTAAATAACTTATGTCTTGTTTAACCACATAAATCTTATCAAAATAAAGAAATGCTTTTTGAATTGTAGTTTTTTTCTACCAAGGAGAGTGTTCATGGGTCACGAGAAGTTTTTTTAATATTACAATAGTATGTATGAGATTATTATCTTTAGAATAATATTATATGTAGTATTGTTAATTCATATATATGGTACATATTATATTTGTATTAATGCTAAAATACGTTAAAATTTATTATTTATGCAATAAATTGCTTTTAGAAAGTAAGAAGTAAATGAATTGTATAATTTAACGTCAACAAACATTTATATTTTGGATTCACTTCACATGATCTAAAACTATTTAACCGGTGTGTCTGGTATTTACTATTTAATATCGTTTGTTCTTTTACAAAATTTAAAACTAATTATCTATAAAGATAATCAAATATTACAAAACCTAGGAATTTTTATATAATGGGTACCCTAAGTCTTAAACTATCTAAATTATTTTAGATTTTACTTCTAAATTTCCAATTAAGTGTTACACTATGTATGACTATATATTAACTTTGAAAACTAAAAGTCAAGGTGGGCGAAATATATCTAATTAAAGTATGAAAATTTTATGAAAATACGATATATATAGTAGAAAAATTTGAAAGTCCAAGAGGGGCACTCGCCCCCGCGCCCCCCTTAAATCCATCCCTGCATAGAAGTAATTATATATGCAAGGCCTCTGTAAAAACCAACTCACGTGGTAACATCTGGTACATAACTGATTAATAGTTAGACTGAAGTGTTCTGTACACTGCAGCACATAAGCTGATAAGCAATACATTAGATCTCTCATAAGCTGCTTCATTAATTTGTAGCTTACGGACAGATGTACAGATAGTCAGATATTGCATCTTGATCCTTGCTTGCACCCAAAGGACACCCATGTTTGATGATGCACATACCTGATCAGCATATGACATATCAGGCAAATGGTAATAAACCTTCAAAGCGCATGCTATTAATAAAAAGTTCTGAGACTGGCAGAAAGGCGTAGGGAGCACCTGGGAACGGCCTCCATTTCAGAATTGAGACTTTTAGAGAACAAAGTGATCAATCATATGTTGTATAATGTCTGCACCTTCTGAATGCACACTCTCGGCTTTTACCTGCAAATTAGACAAGCTGGAAGTTGTTAACTTCCTGGTTTTTACTTTCAATTCCATTTTGTTAAAGAAACAAATTCAAGGACAGGCCTGGATAATACTATGAGCTGCATATTTAATTTTGCTGTTATGGAAGCTGACATCTACTTTCTCCCATGACACACGAGATAAGAAAGTCACCAATTCCTCTGCATCATTAATCCCAAAGATAAGATTAGAACCTCAGAGAACCCATTAGAAGTATAACAAGCATGCAAGGGAGGGACAAACCAAGCACAATAAACAAGCTAGATTAGAATCCGGTTGATACTTTTTGAACTTCTCTAACATCCCTTTCCCGGAAATTAAGAAGCGAGTTCTAGTTGATGAAGGTACCAGCCTTTTGTTTAGTGGTACAATTGCTATAAATCATTAATCCTAGTTAGTTTAGATTAATTTGTTGGTTTAACTAGTACTTGTTTGTGGCTCTTTTTTGGTACATTATCTAACAATAAGCTTTGTTTGATATAAATGACTCTTTTTAGGGATAAAAGAATGTCCGAAAGGACTATTTTTATGCAAACAGAAAAAAAAAAGTGTAAACGAGAGGATACGGAATAGAAGTAAAGCAGGCCACATTTCTTTCAAACATGAAGAAGTAAGATTCAAACCTTCCAGCTTGTCTTGACTATCATCTTCCCTTACAATGGAATCACCCTGCTCACCATCACTTGCTTTGCACCGTTCTTCATACACAACATGTGGATACTTCTCATTCAAGGGTTCTTCCCACTACAATTGAAAGAATATTATGAAACCCCAAAAAGAATCAAAAGTTGGGGAGGTAAAATAGTGTAAAAAACATACCTTGGGCAGTTCACTATTTCGTCTTATGCATGATGTTCTCCAGCCAACAATATCTAAACAAGCAATTATTAAGGAATACTGATGGGTACAACATAAAAAGAACAGTAAATGGAATATTAATTTATATTAAGCAAAACTATTAGGATACGATCATTCGCAACATTTGAATAAGAAACCCGGCGCTCGAATGAACGCAAAGCAGACCTGCGAACATCAATTGTAAAATAACATAAGTGTCATTTCAAACGTGGGCAGTCCAATGATTTAAGATGTACATATACTACCCCACGGGCTCACATTTTATCGTTTTGGAAACTCAGAAGCATATCAGAAACTTGTGAACTTCAAATTCCCGTTTCTGAGCTGTTTCCATGATTGAGAAGATTCAGGGAAAAATTGTTTCCCTAATTAATTAGGGTTAGAGAAACTTTGGGTTTTCAATTTTTTATTTATGATGGGATATTGTAACGAAATTATTGTCTATGAACGTGTTTTAGTGGATTTCAAAAAGAATTTTACCACTGATATTTCAAAGCGCAATGTACTGCCAGTAATTCATTAAATGTTACATTTAGTTATGTATTAATATGTAATAAATTCTATAGTTGATCATATAGACTGTTTCGATCAAAAAATATTAAGCAAAGTTGTGTTAAAAAATAAGTATACATATGTATATGAAAGAATATGTATACATAAGTTTGAAATGCTATTTACAAATATATCCTTATCTTTTCATACATACGTGTTTCCCCTACATTCGTTATCCAATAATTTACAAAAATACCATTTTCGTATTTCAAGTTTCTTGTTTCGTGTGCTACGAAGCCAACAAATTTATGTTAAAAATATGTTTGCTGAAATATCATACATGAATTGCAATTCACCATCATCTTCTACCATGCGTCTAAGCAATGGGGGCTTCCCTTCATCATCATCCCTTAAGAAGAGGTGCCTCCCGGTTCTTCTGAATATCAAATGAATCACATGGCCAGCAACTTTCTCAAAGGCAGTGACTCCAAAAAGAAATGGCACCTGACCATTACCTATAAACAGTTAGGGAAGAAAAGAAAACTACTAAGAGTGTTCAGTAGAGATTAGAGAAAGGTAGTAAAGTAGTGACCACATTTCATAGCAAGAGGAATTGATTATCCTTTTAATTAAAATCTACACTCCTATATGGGCAGGAAGATAACACAATCGATTTGTATGTGATAGGATTTGAAGAACGGTGACTGGAACTTTGAGCTGGGAATCCCAGGATGATCTATTAACTCCTAGAAACAATCCATTATTGAAGTAACAAAGGTCTGGATGATGCTTTGTGAGTTAAAGGTATACACTGCACATGTCTTCAATGAAACTCAATGCATAATTGTGGAGAAATAAAAACATGATTTCTATTACAATATACCTTTATGCATAGACAAAAGCATACAAAGTTGGTGTCACATAGTAGGTATAGATTAACCATCATATCTTATCATTGGTTTTTTTGAATTTTTCATTGTTTATTTTTAATTATCTCCATTATATAAACATTGTCTTGTAAGATAAATATATCAGGTAATCAGCAGAAATATTTATAAGAAATTAAGAATGACTACTGACTACATTCTAGGCCTGTCTCTAGTGACTACGACCTCCCGTCCTCCATCACCTAGAGGCTAGAGCCTAGCACTTTTTAGAGCATTGATTACGGGTTTGCATGCAATATTTAACCAAAATGTCTGATAGGCATACGAGTGATCAGCCTATTAAATGCTACTATAGAGTCTATCAAAGGAGGAATAAGGGGGGGGGGGGGGTAGTTAGTTAGTTAACATGTCTGTTAACTAACAGTAGACTTTACCTGCAGGAATATTGGCTATAAATAGATGATAGATAGCTAAATAAGGCAGGCTGTTATTTCAGTTGGCTGTAGGTTTGGAGAGTGGGCTTCTCGAACTGTCCCATGTGCCTTGTATACCTACTTTGATTCTTCCCTATTGCAATAAACACTAATTCGATCTGTTCTTAGCTTGATTGATATAGAATTGCAACTGTTTTACTTAGATTCTACCAGTGTTCTATCATCCAACTATCAATGTAACAAGGATTTAACAAATTAAAACGCTAGATATGACTTAGAGGCAAAACAGAAGATGAGTAAGTAGATAGATATTGACAAAGGACCACTAAACGAGCGTAACATCTAACTTAATGCAGAAGGTCGCCATTGAAAAATGTACAAATACCTGCTTGTTTCCCCTTGATCCAAGATGAGGTGTGGCAACAGTGATAAAATTCATGGGTACCAACCCAGCAATTCTTCCCCTTGACCCTTCTTTGAGGGAATCAGTAGATAAGTCATCTGCTTTTTCTCTTTTTGGAGGACTATAAAGTCTGCCAATGGTATATCTAGCAACAAGTCCTCCAACAGAATGTGCAACAAAAGAAATCTTCCGTAAACCAGGCTTATCTTTGATTACTTCAAGGACCTGAAGATAGAACCTTTTAAGTCTATTTGCCAGGGATGAGGAGTAAACAGTATTTTTAGGAACTATATTCAAGGACATACCTCATTTGCTAATCTCTCTCCCATAACATCAACACCATCCAATGTTAGCATAGCCGTGTTATGTTCACTACCTGCAAAAAATAATGTTTACTCTGATATTCCAGAAACAACTTGCAACCACATAAGTGCAACAATATATATCCAGTATCTTTACCAACTTCCCATAAATGAACCCTAAAGAATATGCATAGAGAAGACCTCTAAGAAACTTGATGACATAGTGAGCTTACAGTGAACAAAAACTTTGTCAGGGAGTGTTAAGACAAACTGTTCCGCAGCGAACTTCCAATCTGCGGTACTGTGGTAACAAGAAAACATTAACTAACAAAAAAGGTTGAGTAGTTAAGCAATGATAATTCTCTTCTCAAATAACATACGTCATGAGAAATGCAACATTTATTTTGCTTGAATAAAAAATCAGTTAATGCATAGTGTTGTGGCACCTTAAACATTGTCGTTGCATCAATTAGAATGTCTATGTCTATTGATTTAGCACAGAAAATTACCAAAGAAATCGTAACCAAGAGAATTTAACTGGAAAAAATGTACACTAAACTATTCATCATGAAATCACATTGCCATATCCAAAGATTTCTTGTCAGAATGTCAGCCAAATACAGAACTATTCAGAAGCTACCAATCTATCCACGAGCAACATCAAGAAGCGCAAATGATGAAGGATGTAATCAAAGAAAGCAAAAGTACAGAGTCATCTAAGTTCCAGTCTTTTACATGTGCATTGCTTTTAAATGCATATTATAAGCAAATAATGAAACTGCATTGTAAAGCAAACGCGGAGTATAATCTATCAATTTACCCACCACCTCTTAGAAACAAATTGATACTTGTAAGAGTAATTTGGATGAAAACTTCAGTTTACAGAAGTAAAACTACCAAATCGATCAAGAGCTTCAAAAAATACTGCTACCGAAAATCCAGACATTTCCATAATTCGAAAGGAACAAAAGCTAAAATCTTCAACCAATATGAATACACAAGTCAATAAACAGGGCTGAAATATAAACATGAAACCAGATATGCTTATACCTTCCAAGAATACCGTGAACCATTACAACAAGATGATCCGCGGAAGAAACGTCGGATTCTTTGCTGCTATACACATCTTCGCCTCCGTTCACCGATTCTGACAAGCACACAGTTCGAGTGTCGTTCGGTTCCATAACTTTATTTTTCCAGTTTCCTGTTAAACTCTTATATGAATTGAAAAGCGTAAGGGATAGTTGGTTGGTTAAAGTCTTCAATTTGATCATAAACAAACAAATAAATAACAGCCGATTTCCTAGAGAGAGAAAAGGAGGAGCACTGTGAGTCGGTAAGAAGGCGGTGTGCAAAAAAAGTATTGAGACTGGGGGAATCGGAAAAGGGAGTATTCAGAACAAAACAATGGCTATCACGATGTGAAATCGAGGAATGTGAATGTGCATAGAAATATGTGATATAGATTTTTGAGTGATAACAATAAGTTAGGTTATGTTAGCTTACTAGCATGATGACTCAAAGTGTACCAACGGTATTTTTATCATACGGGGTATGTAAGTATGTTTTAACATTAACAAAATCATAAGCCAAAGCAATTACTATACAACTTGTAGGATTGGTACTAATAGACATAGAATCAGCCACTTTCGATAGTTCGTGAATTACTCATACTTAGTTTACTGATCGTCTAACAAATGTAAAAGAAATGTTTGTAAACTTAGAGTTGATATCTCTTATATCCTTCTATAAAGACCCTTTGTAGAAAGGTTCAAACTACAAACCATTCTAAACTTCCTAGTTAAGTAGGAATGCGCGCAATTAGATTCCAACTCTATAAAATCTCATTCGTTATTCTTTAAACGATTAAATACGTCTGAAATATCCGAAAATTCAGATTCCGGAGGAGTACACTTACTATACCCCTTCCCCTCTCATTTAAGGTTGTAAACGAATCGAATCGAACTGAATACTTGACAATATTATTCGTATTTGTAAAATTATTTAATATTCGTATTCGATTAATATTCAAATTTTATTTTGTATTTGTATTCGATTCGTTTAGTATATTCGAATATATACGAATCTTCGAATCTTATTTGAATATCCGGATTCAAAAAACAATAAAGCTAAATTATGAAAATAATTAAAATTATAATGTATAGTTTGCCAACTTTAACTCATTTTCATAGTTCATACAGAGCAGTGGCGTATCCAGGAATTTCCGTCAGCGGGGGCGAACTCACATTGATTATTTCTCGCATCTCATAAACAACAATCACATTTAAAAAATGTAAATTTAATTATAAAAAAACAAAATATTTTGTGGGACAAAAATATTACGATATCATAATTATCTTTCATAGAAGATAAAACTTAACCTTGCTAAAAAATAATCACACAATTTATAATTTATTAGAAAATATGTTAACAATAAAAATTAAATAAGGAATGAATCAAATATTATTTAGAATTAATTTAACTAAGTTGCGAATTCACAAGTATATGAAAATTGGTGCTCCATACATGTTACGTGTAATAATGTACTCCCTCTGTCCCATATAAAAGTTTTCACACAGTTTATGATGTTTGACTGACTATAAAATAAACTGATCTCAGTCTATAATTAGATTTTTTAGTAAAAAATTACAAATTCAGAATCCATTAAACTTTTTATGATGTCACGTCATTGACTACTATTAAGCCAAATAACAAATTATGTGCGAAAAATTAAATTGTAATTATATTGAAATAGTTTAATCAAGCTAAAATTTGAATACTATTATGTAAAACCACTTTTGAATCACTTTAGAGCTTAAATAAAAGGGAAAAACTAAAACAAAATACAAAAGAAACAAAGTTCAGATTCGAACCTGGACCACTCTACCAAACTACTCCCTCCGTATCTTTATAATCTTCCCACTTCAAAAGTGGGTGAGATTATCTACAGTAACCAGACAACAATACAGAAGGCTGTTTTGCCCTTGTGCAGGCAGTCTGAAAATTAATAGGAAGAGTCCAAAACAGTTGGTCACATGTGTACATAACCTCAGAAATTATTGAAATGAAAAATTGAAGTATGGAGGGAAACTACTCGATACTCCCTCCATTTTAAAAGTACAGTCCAAGAATCTTTTGCATCCCAGACCTAAACAATTTCCCTCCTCTTATTTGGCAGCAGCTCCATGCTCCCCTCCCTGACCTCAATGACTTCCCTATTGCAGAAAATGAAGATGCACAAGAAGAATTGCAGAATGTTACTAATGAAGAAACAAACAATACAAATGCAGATATTCATGTTCAAGAATCAGTCATCAACTCACCAGAGCCAATCACATTACATTCAAGAAAAAGGAAATTGACCAATGAAGAAAGGAAGCGAATTACACAACAAATATTACAACAACACAATGGGGGGAAACTTCACAGAGGCATCATTAATGAAACTGCTGCTACCTTCAATACCACAAGGAGAACAATCTACTCTATATGGGCAAAGGTTAAGCTACAAATACTACAGGGGGAGGTAGTGAATGTGGACAGAAGGTATATAGGTCATTCGGGCAGATGACCGGTTTGAACTTGAAAGTGTACAAGTGCCGATATAGTAATAAATTCCGGTAAAATACCGGGTCAAATCCACAGGGAAACGTTGTTTAATTTAGTCCGAGAGTAGATGACTTTAAATAAATAAATGAGTAAAGTGCAGGGATTTTGAGTTGTGTGTTGTTGTGAAAACAACAACTTGGTTCTTCTTTTTAATTTTCAGAGATATAACTTAAATTAATTTGATTAAAGTGATTGATAACAACAACTAAGGCTTCGGGAATCACTTAAATGCTTTAATAGGGTTGAATATTAGTTCTTTACCAACAATTATGAATACGATGTCGCTAATATATTCTCAACTCCGGTTAAGGCAGCGAGAGCGTGGTTTTCGTTACGTGTAAGTCCCGTTACAGCTTACATTCATCTACCAAAAACCCCGTTGAATATCAAGACATCACACCCGTATCATATAATACCGGATATATTTCTATTCTCGGTAATATATATGTTTATCCTTTAATGTTCATAGTTTAGACCTCAACGTTAATTGCAAGCATAAACTAAGTTTAATACTTCTATGTTGTACACCATAGTCATAAACAATCAAAATGTAAAGGATAAATCACAATTTATTGGTTTAGAACTTTTATCAAACACCTAGTGGGCATAGAAGTTCATCCCTAGTCTTAGCTAAGAACTTAGCCTCTAATGCTCATATTAATTACAAAAGTGTAACTAAGAACAATGAAATACAATAACATACAAGAAATAATACCTAGAACCAATTGTAGAGGAGAGAAATGGTTTCTTCTCCAACACTTCAAGAAAATGCAAAAAGGAAATATAAAAACTGAAATTTAATCTTCTAGAATGGAATGATGATCTTGTTTGATGAATTGGGGGCTTTATATAGGCTAAAGATTAGCATCTTTTAGTCTATTCAAACCCAACAATCAGGTATGGAAGAGATATTTGATCAGATCATGAGGAAGGTGAGTTTTTCCTTTCAAAATATTTTTGCACGTCTCCATGTTTTGTGCAGAATCAGGATTAACCGGCGCCGGTTATATGGTAAAACCGGTGCCGGTTTTTGTTCGCAGCTGGATTTATTCTGAAAATGGCCATAACCGGCGCCGGTTATAGGGGTCGACCGGCGCCGGTTGATCTTCGGCAAACCGTAGTAAGCCTTTTTTTTAAATAAAACCGGTGCCGGTTTTAAAGCATGACCGGTGCCGGTTTTCCCCTGCACTGCAATTCTTCATTTTTCGCTCCATTTTACGCCCGTGGCTGACCCCGAAGTGTCGGTTCTCGGCCCCTTTTGATTGTTGACTCCCGTTTCTTCATCTTTGACGTATTTGTGCGGTTTTTACTCAAAATGGGATTTATACCTGCTTTGTCTTTGAATATTTGTACAGATAATCATAATTACCTATATAAAATATAGGTAACTATTGTGCTTATCAGCAGAAAAGGTATAATTCTTGATTCAGAAAAGCTTAAAAACATACCACTTCAATTTAGGAAAAATCTCAGATCAGTTGCTTATGCAATGGGAATGTCACACATGACCATGTGGAGGCTGTTACAAAAAAAAAACAGGTTAGAAGACATACTAACTCCCTTAAACCCCGATTAACCGATAACGGTAAAGTAAAAAGGTTACAACATTGTGTTGGTCTACTTGCCCCTGAGTCTATTCCATTGAATCCTACTTTTAAAGACATGTATGAGTACATTCACATAGATGAAAAGTGGTTTAACACGACTAAAGAAATTGAGAAATACTATTTGGCCATTGATGAACCGGATCCATACAGAAGTGCTCAATCGAAGAATTTCATTCCAAAAATCATGTTTTTAGCTGCTGTGAGTAGGCCTAGGTTCAGTGAAAGGGGGGAAGTGTTATGGGACGGAAAGCTTGGAATTTGGCCTTTCACTTACGTAGGGGCTGCTCTTCGATCTAGTATAAACAGACCAAGAGGGTCATTAGAAGTTAAACCTATCACTAGGATAACGCGGGAAGTCATGACGGAAATGTTTCTATCCAGATTATTGCCTACTATTAAAGAAAAATGGCCAGATGTCCTCAATAGGAACATCATCATTCAACAAGATAATGCAAAGCCACATACGTTAATTGACGATGAAGATTTTCATAGAGAAGCAAGTACTGATGGTTGGAATGTCTCTTTGCAATGCCAACCACCAAATAGCCCTGATTTAAATATACTAGACCTAGGTTTTTTTCAAGCCATTGATTCCCTAAAAGACCAAAAGCCTAGTAGTTCACTCCCTGAATTGGTTGCAAATGCGGAAGAAGCTTTTAACGAACTTTCAGCCACAACACTAGAAAAGGTCTTTCTATCTTATCAAACTGTTATGAAATAAGTGATGCAGTGCGGGGGAGGAAATAATTACAAATTGCAGCATTTGGGAAAAGAAGTTTTACAATGGCAAGGTCAACTACCTCAGAGAATTGGTGTGACTAAGCAGATATATGAGGAGGCGTTGCTTAAAATATCACATTCTCTTAATGTGTGACTAAATGTGAAATGAAATTTCATGTATGTGTAATGCTTTATGTTAGACAGTTGTAATGCGTTAAGACTGCTTTGGATTGTTATTAATAAATGAATGAGGTCAATTGTTCATCTCTGGTGACTCCATAAATATCTCTGGTTTCGGTTTTTTCGATTTTTTACCAAAAAATCCTCACTTGATTTATAATTGATGTAATAATTAGAGGGATCAAACATATTGTATAAAGAATGCAAGCACAATACAACAACAAATAAAACAAAAATGAGAACAGATAAATATGTCTTGAATTATATGAGTATGCGAGATAGATAAAACTGTATATATTATTGATTTAATTTGTTTGTGAGTAGTTCGAAAAAAGTTCATGAATATAAACGTTCTATGTGATATAGTTGAGATGAATATTTGTTGTTTTATCAATATAAAATTTTTAAGTTATCTAAAAATAAAA